TTCTTTATCACTTAGTTCGGGGAAATAAGATTGATCTGGCTAGAATCGTTTATGAACAGATTTACGCAGTAGGGGTTTGGGGCGACCATCGCAGCTCCATATTATTTCCCAGCTTGATCAGTGGTATATGCAAGATTTCAGGCATCCCCATCCCACCAGGGGGACTCTCCGAAAAACTAAGTCCCTTTATTAAGTGTAGTACATTGGAAGCACAAGAAATGGGTCGGATCAACCACATGGAAAAGTTGGCACTGGAACAACGAAGACAATAGCTAGTTGTACATGGGGGAGAAGGTGCCGATATAGGATTACCTCAAGACCAGCCACCACTACAGTCGGATGTGGATGCACTACGTCAGATGTTCACTACCATGACAAGCTCTGGTCGTGATATTTAGAGTCTGCAGCAGGCGTTTGAGGCCATGAGTACGGAAGTTACTTCGATGCAGACTATGCTGCAGCGAGTTGAGCACTTCACCTCCTCTACCAATCAGGATTCTCTCGCCACTAGGCGCGAAATAGACACAATGAATGGGCGACTAAGCATATACGTCGGCCGGGTTGATGGTATTCAATTGTGCGCCACTGAGACGCGGGATCGCCTGGACACCGTAGAGTCAGAATTTCAAGAGCAAACCAAGACCATAGGGGTCTTCAGTTAGATATTGCACACCAATCTGAGTTTATGTAGCAAATTTTAGCTCGGCTTCCTCCGCCACCACACCATTTTTTATCAGGGGAGTACCACTGTTACTTGCTCTCCTCCATGCTTGTTTCATACTTATGTTATCTCTTCCATTGGTGGCAATGTAGATTTTAAGTTTAGAGGTGTGGTATTTTGTCATTTTACTGCTTTAATTTAATGTTTTCTCTTTCCATGTGTTTGTCGAAAAAAAAAAATTTGCCTTCCTACTGATGGGGGTGGTCTGGGATTTTAGACTATTGCAGGATATGGTGGACACATTTTTACTGAAGCTACGGTGGCTGCTCAGGTCTTAGAGTTCTCTTTGGGCTCAGTTTTTACTAGACAAATATTGTAGAGGGACATCCATCGTTTGCAGCAGTTCCTCATTCAGCATCTCCTACTTGAAACAGGCTAAAGAGATTTGGACCACGTGTCGAGCCACATATTGAGTGGCACCTTGGGATGGGATTTTGGACCACGAGATGGGATTTTGGACGATTACAGCTGACTCTTCCACCAGTTATGGCAGAGCAGATTACGGCCATTCCACTATGTCGAGATGTCTCAGATCACATTTTCTGGAGGGCCACATCAGAGGGACGATTTACTACCAAATCAGCTTAGCATTTGATCCATTTTTGCATGCTTGTGCAGGATTCGTTTCGTCTTCTATGGAGCTCTATCATACCTCCTACCGTTTCTTTCTTCTGCTAGAGATTATGGCAGGATTTGATCCCAGTTGATGTCATTATTCAACGGAGGATTGGTAGTCAGTTGGCTTCGAGATGTTGGTGTTGTTCTGAGATTGAGACCATGTTTGGCAACATTTTGGGGCTTTATTCCAGATTACTATGAGTGTAAGATAGAGGGTCAAATAGAGATTTTCGAGATGGAAGTATTCGGGACAGTTTGCACGAACTGGACACATTTGTATCATTCTTCCTTTATTGATTTTCTGGTTTCTTTAGATCGAGAGAAATGATGCGAAGCACATGACCATACGTATGAGTTCGAGACGGATCATCTGGACAGTATATCATATGATATCTTTCCTCCACATTGGTAGAATATTTCGACAGCTACATTGGCATAATGACATGCAACTTACTCAAATTTTTGGTATTTCTTGACTCTGCCTTCATCTTCTTCCCCAATTATGGTTTGGTAGCGCACTCTATCAGTAGCATCATTAGGGACTACTTAGGAAATTGTATCAGGGCTTTCTCAGCGTCATATAGACGGTGTATGATCTTAGAGGCGGAACTCAGGACTATTCGTGATGGGATACTACTGTCTCGAGATCTTGGTTTGTTAGACATTTAGGTTGAGGCAGATTCGAGTGCGACCATTCACTGCATCATTAGAAGTGGTGGACCGTGGGCTATCTAGGGTATACTCTGACAGATTGTAGACATCCTTTCCTTTGACAGAGATACGGTTTCCCACATCTTCAGAGAAAGGAACCAACTGCAGATGCACTTGCTACTGAGGGTTGGCATCATCATAGATACAAGGTATTTGGACCAGCTGACTTTCCACGACATATTAGGGCGCTTGTTCAGATTAATAGATATGGCTTGCCCCAACATTAGAGCTTGAGTTTGAGTTTGAGTTTGAGTACTTGTAATTTGCTTTTACTTTTATTTTTGTTAACATATGCACTTTTTGTAAGAGAAGTAGTACTTCCTTTTTTATAGCTTTACTTCACTTTTGCTGTAAGGGAATTAGTACTTCCTTTTTTATTGCGTTACTTTACTTTTGCTGTAAGGGAAGTACTATTTTCCCATTTATTGATTTGCTTGATTTCAGTTGTAACCATGGTATTCCTCCGCCTCAAGTAAGGACATATTAATAAAATCTCGAAGGTATCGCCCTCCTTCCACTAAAAAAAACCCTAAGCCCTAAGGTCAGGAGCAGGATTTCAAGCTAGGCTTCTCGAATGCTATAACCTAGGGATCGAATTATTTTGTTGAGATCAGTACTATCCTCTCTACCACTTTATCTTTTTCAAATTATGCGGCCTACCTAGGCTGTATTGAAAAAGTTGGAGAGAATTTTTTTCCCGGTTCCTATGGGATTCTAAGGAACAAGCACGCCACTACACTGGAGGAGTTGGAAGGAGGTTTTTCTTCCATCAGATGAGGGCGAACTACGCTTCAGGAAACTACAGGATGTCGTGGACAATTTTTTATGAAGCTTTAGTGGTTGTTTCGATCTCGGAGTTCTCTTTGGGCTCAGTTCTTACTAGGTAAATATTGTATAGAGACGCATCCATCACTTGCAGTGGTTCCTAGTATCATGGCACAGGATAAATATTCTTCTAGCACGATTGTTGGATGGGCGATATTACCCTGGCGTCCATGTTCCTACACAGGCAGCACAAATCTGAGAGGTTACAAGATTACTTTGAGGGCACTGGGTGGAACTTTAGATGATTATTACAAGGACAGATAGGGGATATACCTTTATGTACAGATGCTCTGAATCGCATTGTTTGGTGGGTCACATCGGATGGTAGCTTTGCTACTAGTTCATCATGGCAGCTAGTCCTTTTAGTTCGCCAGATTTAGGATTCGTATCAATTACTGTGGAAAAATCCAATTTTTCATGAAAGGACAAGTATATTGATGATAAATTGCATTTTATTATGGATATGGTTTCTAAAGAGGTTTTACTTCTTGAGAAAATTGCTAATCAATTTAACCCAGCTGACTAAGGTACTACATCTAAACAAGTTTAACTCTTGTTTGCAAATGTTGAATATTGATGCTGGTTAATTGTTTAAACTGGTGCAGGTACTAATCTTATTGCTGGGTGGAAAGTTCATGGAAGCTGTGGCCATTTAGTTGTTGACTTGAATAGAGCAATAAGCTACCTGAATAACCACTGGCATCAAGGTGGAGATTTGTGAAGGCTGTGATGCCAGCCCAATAGGCGATGATGAAACTAGCCTTCGGCCTAATGCTATTGCCCAATATAACCAACTTAAGTAGCCCAGTGAAACCTGAGGCCAAATACTCGGTCCAGTGAAGTGTTTGGTGAATGCGACTTTGGTTGTTTTACCTTATGTTGAAAGTGAAAGTTTCACTGAACTGTTGGATTATCAGCTGCTAATCTCGATATTTGCCTGAGTGATAATATGAAAAGTTGATTTTTCACTATAGATTTTCAGGGCTTCTATTCTTCGAGGGTTCTCTAGAGTCTTCTGTGTTCTCTCTTTCATTTTCTCATTCTGATTTTCAGTAACTCTTTAATCTGGTTTAAGAGTGGTATTTCCTTATGAAAACTATTGAAAGAGTGTATCGTGTATGTAGTAACGATGAGCTCTTCTGGTCCATAGAAGAAGCTGCATGTTTTCTGTGATCATGAGGTTTCTTAGGTGAATTTGGGTTTTAAGGTGTTGATACAGAAGGGTATAATATTCTGAGCCTTCGATTGATGTTACTTTGGTGTCCAGTCCAATTCTAGAAGCAAAAATGTTTCGAATCTGTGTCTATTAATTGTCCATGTTTTTACTTGCAATGCTACTGTGTCGGACTTCTGTGTAGCAAACTTAAATGCCCCTGAAGGGCCTGTAGGTTATTCTTGCAAGAGTCTAGGAAATGTAACAATGGATGATTTCGTGTTTTTTGGTCTTAGCAAGGCTAGAAACACCACCAACATTATTAATGCTGCTGTGTCTCGTGCATTTGCATCTCAATGGCCTAGGTCTCTCTATTGCACAATTGGACTTAGCCCTAAGTGGTGTGATACCAATGCACACTCATCCCGGGGCTTCTGAACTTCCACTTGTTGTGCAAGGTTCTGTCATCACAGCATTTATCTCTTCAGTAAATAAATTTTACCTCAAGAAACTTAAAAGGGGTGATCTTATGGTATTCCCACAAGGGCTTCTGCATTTTCAAATAAATTCTAAAGGCAGAAAAGCAATTTCTTTTGCAAGCTTTTGCAGCCCAAACCCCGGACTTCAAATAACTGATTTTGTATTATTTGCAAACAATTTGCATTCTACGCTGGCGGAGAAGGCCACATTTCTTGATACTGCTACCGTCAAGAAACTCAAGGTTGTTCTTGGTGCCACTAGCTAAGTTTGCCAAATGCCAACCATCCATTCTCTTATTCTTAGCATTTCTTCAATTTTTATTGCCTTGTCCTTGTTTTTTGTACTAGTTGTGTTATTGAGTTATCTATCTTCAACTCTCTTCTACGGGTTCACTTCATGTCCACAAAATATTGTTTATCCAAAAAGTAATCTGTCCAAAATATAATATGTTTAAATATGATTCGCCAGAGTGGGGATAAAAAATGACAACAAATCAAAATGTGCCCCTGTTTGGGGCTTATTTTTGTAGAATTACATTTTTCTTTCTTATTTTTAACCTTGCATTCTTTAATAAAATATTATTATATGTAAACTCAAAAAATTTCTTTAGTTTTCAATCACACAATCTCCAAAAAATCACTATTTCAAAATACATTTTTCTCCAAAATTTAATTTTAATGGAAACAAGATTACTAACTGCAGTTGTTAATTAATGTTGTCTTTCTTTAACTTTTTACATTAATGATAGCTGAAATAATAGTGAGAAGACTTTTCAATTTTCTTAGCGGAGCAAGACTTGGACAGCTACTACTCCTCCGATGAATAATTAACATTGTTAAGCCTCTAATAACGAGTCTCCATATCAAAACAAGGCCAATGCTCCGAGGTGCCAATGCGCCTAGAACAAGACCAGTTACATATGGGTTCGAAGTGACTGGGCTCGCTTAGAACGAAGATGAAGCAGCACGTTTAGGAGACATGTCTGCTGATGGGAGTCGGTGCTTCACGTAAGATACGAATATTTTGTATAAAGATCTACCCAAGATAAAATCTCTTAAATGATGGATGTGACATCTTTGCATCAGGCGCCAATGTGCCAATTCGAATCCATGTGTCAGGAAATATTAAATGTCCGCCCACCTATGGAGTGATAGATGGACGTCTACGAAGAGACGCTTTTGACCAGTATATGAAGCCACGTGCCTTCCATCCAACTATCCTTCTTTCACAAATTCCTCTATAAATACCCATACTTTGCGCCTTTGTAAGGTAATGTAACTCCACTCATAAGAATTCATAATTTTCCACTCCTCTCTTAAGATATTACAAACATTTCAGTGGTTTTTGATATCAGAATTAGTTTACAATTACAATCGACTAACTTGACCGTCGAAGTGTTCGTAGCCGCTACCACCACCACATGGAATGGTCGCGAGCTGACGATTTGTGTCAAGTGTGCTGGGAAGAGCATACATGGAGCTACTTTTGTAGGCCACGTAGAGATCCATTGAAAATATTATTTCGTTTAGGCATCATAGAAAAATCAAAATTTCTAATTTGTTTCAGTTCAAAGAATAGGAATTATGTAGATAGAAATCCTGTATTTTGCAATGAAAAGAATAGCAACCAGGATAAACAAATATGTACAAAAAAAAGTTGGGGCTATTTCTCCGTTGTACATTTGGCATGAGAATTAGGGACCGAATTTTTATTAAAGGAAAAACGAGAGATAGGTAGAAAATTATTGTATAAAAAGGAGATCCCAATGTATGGCCCGCCTATGAAATATTTATAGATGTCTAGTGTCATATAATTGCTAAGCGGTTATTGTCCANTGTCCACGTGTCCAGTGTAACACGTTCACTCTAAGTAGTCATAGCCCACATAATGAATGGTCAACTTCCACCTACTAGACGGTTAATGGGATTAGTGATAACTATCGGGCAGTTTTCAATCAATTAAAAAGATGTTCAGGTGGTAGAGAGTCATAGTAGTCGATCTACCATAGCGATAGTATTCAAGCTAGCATAGCAGTAATCGAGCTGCATAGAGGTAGTCGGTCTACCATAGTGACAATCATGCTAGCATACCGATAGTCGATTTGTCATAGTGATAGTCAAGCTAGATAATGGTAGTTGATCTACCATAGTGGTGGTCAGGCTAGCATAGTAGTAGACTATAACCATTTTTTTCTTGCTCACTGCCTAGCCCCTCAAAAGGACTATAGAGCGATTTTGAGCTATAACCATTTTTTTTTCTTGCTCACCACCTAGCCATTCGGATAGACTGTAAAGAGATTTTGAGCTTATAACCAATTTTTTTTGTTTTATTTTCTCACCGCTTAGCCTCTCGGGTGATTTGTTGTGTTGAGCACGTGGTCTAATGATTTTGAGTCTTAACCAAATTTTTAGTTTTGAAAGCTCACGACTATGACCGTAAAGCGTTTTGAGCTTATAACCATTAATTTTGTTTTCTTGCTCACCACATAACTCCTCAAGCGATTTGTTGTGCTAAGCGAAGTTTAGAGCCCATGCTTGGTACAAGAAATCTCAATAGTTGCAGTTCAAGTCTGTGCATTTACATAAAGTTTGCCTAGAGTTGAGGACTCGGTAGGCACACCGGGGATCCCAGGTGGGTTGACCCCGCTTCAGCAAGTCATGCATCGACTTTTTGGTATTCTTTGAGAGTGACATCTAAAATGTGGTTACTATTGCTGTTCATTAATGTGGTTGCCACGGCAGACATTTGAAGGTTATTTATGCCAAGCATAGCCATAGTGAACCTAACAAATAATCTTGTACGAGCTTATCTTTTTCCTGGACAACCTACATCAACCCAATGGTTGTCCTCCTCTTTTCTCTTGCTACTCAAGAAGTATGCCACAAAGCTTCTAAAGAGCCCTTCAAAAGTTTTGATAGACCGGGGCGCTAGAATAGCTACCCATTCTCTAGCCTCTCCTTAGCATCGATGAACAGGACCAACATAGCTTTGCATAAAGGGTCGTATACAATCTCATCAAATCAACGAAAGTCCATAGGTGATCAAGCAAATCCATGATCCATCATATGCCTCTATCTTCGTCTATTTGAAGCCTTTTCATATAGGAAATGCTATCATCTCAATTTCGAATAAGTCTTCATCCAAGACCAACTGTCTGCATCTATATTTTCTCCTTGACAATGCATCGTCTATCTTTTAGGCCATTATTTCCTCTATCTTGAGCTCCAAGTCTACCATAGGACATGGAACTTACAGATGTATGACTACATGGGACCCTTGATCTACAATCGTTGGGTGAGTAACCGAGAGACAACCGTTTGCGCCACTTGGAGCGATTGTCTGCTTATACCTAATGGTGGAACTTCTGCTAGATTAAGGGATGGATCGGCCACTTTCTGAGTCAGGCTTTGAAAAGAGTCATCATGGCAACCAACTGAGTCTCCACGATGCTAAACTTACTTTTTGTTACATATTCAGGCTGCGATGACAGGTCTTGACCTAGGTAATAGACTCTGACTCCGCTTGTTTCCAACCAAATGCATGTCACTCTTAGTTCAACTTTCCAATATAACTTTTGTGTTCAAAACGATTCCCTACAGATGGTGCCAAAGAAATAATAATGAGAAGACCTTTCAATTTCCTTGGAGAAGCAAAACAGCTAGGACTGGACAAAACTCTCAAATCAAATCGGATCGAACTAGACCCACTCGAACCAAATGGTTTTACTTAAGTTAAATACCCGAACATATATCTGAATTGAGAAACGATGAGTTTGGTTCGATTTTCGGTTCTAGGTCAAGAACAGAATAACAGAATAAGAATCGAATCAACCTAATTTTTTTTTATTTTTTATCTTAAATAAGCCAAATTATTTTATTTTTTTCTAAATAAATTTGTTAACTAATTAATTTAGCTAAAACCCAAAATATGATTTTTACTATTTTCTAATTTCCAGCCATGCCCGAATTAATCAAATTAACTTAAATTTTATCCAAATCTTTCATTCTATTGCAGTGTCGTTTATATCATTCCATTATTGTGAGTTCACTATCTTTCTCTTCCGTATGTGATTTTAACAGTCAAATCTATGAAAAACTTAACAAAAAGAGGCGCAAAAAATATCATGGATTGAATTACGTCATTTTGTAAAAGTTAAAATTGAACATGTCATAGTTGAATTAATACAGTATTATTGTAAATATATAAATTTTAATTATTTTACGGAACTCGGGAACCAATAGAACTGAATCGAACCAAATTATGTCAAATCCTAAAGACATATTATGCTACTCCGATGAATAATGAACACCTACCAAAAGAGGTTTAGTTCTTGATCTCCCCACTAGTATTTGGCAGCTAGATCACAATTTGTATTATAAGCTGTGGCAAATAAAAATGGTTTGAAGGATAAGAAATTTGGATCCCAAAAATTATCCAAAAAAATAAAATTGGTTTTTATAATGAACATATATCTAATAGTTTTTTAACCAAATGTCACGTTAACTTTGATCTTTCTCTTTCGACATATTTTATTGTATTCTAATCTTATGTTTCTACAATTCGAGTCTCTATTTCGACATATTTTATTTATCCTGTAAATGGATAAACACCTTTACAGGGTAAATAAAAAGATAGAGACTCGAATTGTTGAAACAAGAGATTAGAATACAATAAAATATGTCAAAAGAGAAAGATCAAAGTTAATGTGACATTTGGTTGAGGAACTATTAGATATATGTTCATTATAAACAACAATTTTTTTCTTCTCTCTAATTAGTATGCATTATCTAGCTAAGGACGACTTTTAATCGAATATTAAATCATGGTCAGATGACGACCAAGTTTTTCGAGGGTCAATTCTCCAAATAAAATGACAAACCTCATCAGCCAATAATCTAAAACAAGGCCATTTTCACATACACACACACACACACAAAAATTGTTATTTTATTTGAAATTAAAACAGAGTTTGCCGTCTGTTTGACAATTCAAACTCTCTTAAGAATTTCAAATACTTTTCTCAACAACTATGACGTATAAGGGAATATGTTAATAAACAAACAAATCACATACAGCTTTATAAAAGTCTTAATACCTTAAAATAACCTTAATGAAGACATCACAACTGCCAAAATAACAGCAAATTTAAGCGTTGATTATGCCTTCCAATGTCTCTTCCTAGATACATTATTTTAACACTTCAAAATCGAGTCTACACCATACTCCGTGTTCATCTCTCTCTTCCTTCAACTCTCCCAACAATTTTCAGTACCATGACACTTGACGAACCAGAGCCAAATCCCGCGGCCGATCACATCTTAGAATGGCTAGAAGGATCATTATCATACTTCCCATCATTTTTTGATGATCCATATGATGCCACAGATTTCAGCGCTGATTCGTGGTGGATTCAAACTCAATGTCTAGATCAAGAACCAATCAATAACAGTCCTGCCTCTTTCAGTAACTCTATTGCTACAACTGCCACCACCACAATCACCACAAAACCAATGAACTCCTCCGTAGTTTCCAATCAGCCAATGCCACCTGATTTGCCCAAGAAGCGGAAATTACCTGATGATTTGAAGCCCAATATATCGCAAAGCTCCCGGAAGAATCAGAATCCTCGGATCAATGAGGCTGATGTCGGGGGTGTAATTACTGGACAAGGGGTGCCACCTAGAAAAACAGCTGCAAACAAAAAGACAACGGGCAAGTCAGCTGTAAATAATAACAACGGTAATAACAAAGAAGGAAGGTGGGCAGAACAATTGCTCAATCCTTGTGCTGCTGCTGTCGCTGCCCGAAATCCTTCCCGTGTCCAACACTTCTTGTATGTTCTACAGGACCTGTCCTCCCTGACAGGTGATGCTAACCACCGGCTAGCCGCTCATGGGCTCCAAGCACTGAAACACCACCTATCCTACCCTTGCATCTCCTCTGCACCTGCAGGGTCTACTACTTTTGCTTCTAGCAACCCAAAATTCTTCAGAGATTCTCTGATCAAATTCAATGACATCAACCCATGGTTTCGTATTCCCAACAACGTTGCAAACACTTCAATACTCCAAATTCTCGCAGAACAGGGTTGCTCAAGTAATCTTCACATCGTTGACATTGGAGTTTCTCATGGTGTTCAATGGCCAACACTCCTCGAAGAGTTAACTCGAAGATCAGGTGGTCCACCTCCCTTAGTTCGCCTGACAGTTGTCGCTCCTGATGACAACAATCAATCAAGAAGTACTCCATTTGCAAGTGGCCCACCAAACTACGACTTCTCTTCCCAACTCCTTGGCTTTGCCAAGAGCATAAACATTAACTTACAGATCAACAGACTCGAAAACATCCCACTGCAGAACCTGAATTCTCAAGTTCTTAACTCATCAGCAGAAGAAATCTTGGTCATTTGTGCACAATTTAGCCTCCACAACCTAAACCACAATATTCCAGATGACAGAACTGAGTTCTTGAGAGTACTAAGGAGCATGGAGCCCAAAGGAGTTGTTCTTAGCGAAAATAACACAGATTGTAGCTGCAACAACTGCGGGGATTTTGCAACAGGATTCTCAAGGCGAGTGGAATACTTGTGGAGATTTTTGGACTCCACCAGTGTAGCATATAAAGGGCGTGAAAGTGACGAAAGAAGAATGATGGAAGCAGAGGCAGCAAAGGCATTGACAAATGTAGGGGAGATGAACGAGAGTAAAGACAAATGGTGTGAGAGGATGAGAAATTCTGGCTTCGCTTTGGAACTCTTTGGAGAGGAGACCATCGATGGAGCCAGGGCATTACTGAGGAAGTATGACAGCAATTGGGAAATTAGAACAGAAGAGAGAGATTACTGTGTCTGCCTTTGGTGGAAAGGACAGCCAGTATCATTTTGTTCGTTATGGAAACCTTGTGACAGTTGATGCAGTTGCTGCATCAATCTTATCTTTACCTCTTTCAGAATAATTTTGACAATGTAGTGTAATGTCCAGTTTTGTTTTATACCGAACACGACATTCTGAAATCTAGAGAATTCAAGTCATTATTAAGCCCCGGTTTGGCCCCCATTAAATAACATTACATTACATTACATTAAATTTCTCTCTTCATTACAACTACACATTCATCAAATAAAATAATATTACACACAAATCTAAAACTTTTCAGTACTTTTCCACCATACATTCTCCCATCAATCACTATTCCAAAAAATTTCAACCATCCAAAATGCAAAATAATGGGAGCCCAACAGGGGCTAAAGCTCAGCTATATGCATACATTTATCTCTACACAGACAAAAGCGACATTATTTCTTAGGCTTTGTGTAATTAATGCTATCTGAAATGCAAAGATCAATAGCACCAACAAATTCGTAAATCAAGAAAATCATATATACAATAAAAAGTGACATTCAAACTAATAGAATTATATACACTAATATTCATGTTATTGTATTAGACTGGAATATTTTCCTAAAGAGACAATCTGCTAGTCTCTCTTATCGTCTCTAGACTGTGATCCCAAGGATCAAGAATTGGTATGAAGTTTCCCCCATAATCTGCAAGTCCTTTTCCAGCTATTTATTACAGAAGCATATTGATCATCCTCAAGAATCATATATTCTTACAGAATTCCGGATTGTCTGCCTACATACGGGACACTTGGGTGATATCTCACGTTCAACTGATAGGGCACAACGCTGGCAGCAGACCAGATGTCCACAAGGAATGAAAGCAGATCTGCGCCTTCTCATCAGGCAAATCACACAAAGTTCTCCATCAGGAACTTCTCCAGTCTCTTCGTCAGATGCAATTTGAGGGGGAACATCATTAGTGGCAGAATTGTTTTGTTGTTGTGCTTGCCTCCGTTGTCTCCACTCTTTCCATCTATTCCAGTTCCTGACATCATGAATACAAAACTGATATTTGTAGCAGTTAAACCCATCTTAAAGCATTGTACTTTTATTACTTCTAAATATTTATATATGTTTTCGAAAGAATATAGAATTATGTTTTGTGTTACATAACAAAATGCAGTTCTGCTCTCTTACAGTTACCAGACAAACAATGGGAAAATGAAGTTCTGCAGCGCAAGCATTTTATAACTGGAAAAATAATCAACACCATGCTACATCTAATGAACTACCATACAGGTAAAAAAATAAGTAAAGGGTTAACCGTGCATTTTAACAGGCATGTACACGAAAATGAACAGATGAATGGAAATTCGTTTACTGGAATAGACGACAAGGTCTTAAAACCTATAAAGGTCTAAATTTGATGCATCGCTTTATGGTAACCTATTGAATGTGCAATGGAGAAACTATAATTACCTATTCATGTGGAATGGTTAGGTTGCCCGAATCCTAATCAGTTTATTGTGCGCTTACAGGTGTACAGTAGCATGAGAAAAATACCATATGAAAAATAGGAAATATGGACTTCAGCGTTAGATTACAGCAGGATAAAAATTGACACCATTCTACATCTAATGGATTAGAGCAGGCACACAAAACTAGATCAAGTCTACATTTTCATAAGAAACTGGAATGGAAATCCATTTATTTACAAGGGAAGAGACACAAAGAAGGTATTCAAAGGTGCCTTTTAATTTCATTTTTTGTTTCCTTTTTTCTTCAAGTAATGTCTCTTTATTCCATAGTGACATGATTTCTGAAATGATAGGCTGGTCTTAAGCTAGAGTTTCAACTATATATCCACAGTGTTAATGGACCAAAACATTCATCTTGCTAAATAAAAACACAATTACCATTCTCCAAGATCAGATAACCTAAAAAGGAAGCGCATTTTCTTATATAGCATGTGCTCCCCAAAGTTCCATTATTTAACCCACGATTCAAAAATGTTTATCTATTAACAGGAAATTCGAAGTAATCTCAAATGTGGCATGATAGATAGTTATGTTCTTGCAAAAAAGAAAAAATTAAATTAAATTAATACAAAAACAAAAACAAAAAAAAGACTTTTTGCGCAACAAGATTCCTGGACACAAACAACAGTATTTGAAACAAGTAAAATGGAGTAGAGGAAAACAAATATTTGATTCTTTCAAAATGAAGATGTGCCGAAGAAGGAAATGTTTTTGTTTTTTGTAATTCAACGAGTACCGGGTGAATTGAAAAAAGAAGTAAAACTATATTTGCTGGATTCTCCAGCATGATATCATTGTTTCAATCATTTTGCATAACAGAATATGGTCTTAACATGAAATGGTGATTCACGATATACTAATCTGTAAATAAAAGTTTTAGGGAGGATAACTAATGTTGCCACTGTATGTTCAGGGTCTGTCTGTCTTTTGGACCATCATACTCTGGTCTTGAGGCTGTATTTTATTCTGCTAAAAGTTAATATTTCTGGTAACATAATTGCATGATTATTTACTTTGATCAGGTCAGACCTTTTTCCACTACATCACCAATGCAGTTAACACAAGAATTGCAGAATTCGCCCATGTGGACGTTAAAAAATTAAATTTTCTGACAAATTTCCAGATGAATCGAACTTTTCAGGATAATGCCTTTAAGTTCCTAAAAAGCTATAAAGTTGTAGTGACAGTACCTTACAATAGCATAGCCAAGGATACCTATTGCTAGTGAGCCAAAAACAACACCACTCCATAGTAACACTTTAGTCTTGAAGGCGAGATCTGCCATGATTTGATCCTTAGTCAAGTCAGACCTACAAGAACAATTCTGCAAAAATAAAATATCTAGAGAGGAAAACAAAAAAGTAAAGCAGAAGTAAAAAAACAAAGAATACAGTCAAATTCGCAAATAGAACAAATTACGGATTAGCTTGTCCAAAAGTAACTAGTATTTTCTCCAGAGAAAGAATATGTCAACATTAACTTCCATTGATCAGGTATAACAAAATACTTATGGATAATGACCGAACCATGAAAAAGCAGTCATGAAAGAAGGAATAGTCCACAGAGGTGCCTCCAATGATATTACTTTGAGGATAAATATACTCTCGACTTTTAAGACCCTAATTCATATTTAAATGTTTCCAAAGGAAACGCCCTTACAAAAAATAAGGAAGATCTTTGCACGATTTGATTTCTGGAGACCCATTTCTCAAGCTGCAAATGCCAACAGCTGTTATATCTTTTCCAATTGGAAGCATTTTCTCTTCATCAAGCAGTCCAACCTTCAGAAAAAAGAAAAAAAAAAAAAAGCCATTCAGTATGGAGAAACTAGAAAGAGAGATTAGACTTTTATTTGTTCTCATTATCAAAAGGAGTCTTCATATTTCACATTGAACTCACAGGATACTCGTGGCCAAAAAGTGCCTGTAGAAATGTGTAAGGAGAAGCACTTATAGGCTGTAAGTGGTGGTAAACTGTTGTCATAGGTAGTGGATGCCTTGATCCTTCCATGTTGACAATAACATAACCAGACTGAGGCCTCCTTCCCGCTTCAACAAGAACAAAAGGAACCTATTGATGCCATGTCATAGAGCCAACATTAATCAATAATGTTAATGGTGTGTATCAGGAAAATATAAATGCAGTGATAAACCAAAACAGTAAGAATACTAGAATTTTATCCGAAAAGGCAGCCTTGAGAAGTAATTTTTTAATTTCTCATTTTTTTTCCAGAAAGAGCCAAGTATCGAAATTGCCAAGGCCCACGATGTCCTGCACACCTAAAAGAAAATCCCAAAACGAAACCCTAATTCAAAAGTTCTTGAAAATCAGTTCAACATCAGGATACCCCTATAATAAATCTTAGACTAGGGGTACCACCTTAGAGGATCTAATCTTTTATGGAGATTTACAAAAGGAAGAAAATATTTATCAAGTTCAGCATAGACGCGCAACATATTTATAAAGTTTTTGATGAAGACAGACTAGCAAAAGCAAAAAATAATGGAAAAGTAACTAGGTAAGAATCTGTAAGCGGCTGAAACAGTTACGTTCGTTGCTATAACAATACGTGTGATGTAATATTCGGCGGCAAAAGGAATGAACAGCTTATAATAGAACATTGTAAAATAAGAAATTAAGGAATTGGACTAAGTAAGATTTGATTTCGTGATCCCTGATTGTAAATCAGTGGACATTGCTTTGTACAAAGATCTAATGCATGTAGACTTAAGGAAGAAAATCTCAAAACAACAATAATACACCACGTACACATCAGAAACTGTGCCCTATCAAATATTAGACTGTATCATTCCACGTATGCTCAAATATTACCCTAAGTGTTAACTTTCATTATCTATGATTTCACAGCATTTGTGAGAAAGCATATAGAAGTACAAATATCAATTTGTGAGAAAGCATTTACCGTTCTTATTGTTGAGGTCTCTTGGTCTTTCCAGGATCTTGCAAACATAGACCGTAGGTCAGCAGTCAATCCAAAGAAACCCCTCCATTCGTTATAAATGCACTTCAGAAGATGAAAAGATCGAGAAAAGAATAGATCAATGTCCTGTATTAAGTTGATATGACAAGCAACAATAAAGATAAGCAGAGACGCTTCCAAACAATAATTCTCTCGTGGTCATAAAAGAAGATATTCATATCTGGGTTTACTGTTTTTCTCCAAATAAAATTCACCCAAAAGAAAGAGAAGGAAAAGGTTATGCAGTGTCACAGACTGAAAGCCGACATTTAATCCAGTTATATTTGCACATGCACTTCCTCATTAGGCAAGCGCTTTGTTGCACGAACAATTCAACTAGGGTGGCATGTTCATGTCGGACATGTGCCCGATACCAACACTCCTCAAATACATCACCATGGTACTTTTCTTATAAATCATGTGGTTATATTGGTGCATCATAGGGCACGGATAGTTTAAAAAATAAACGGTTTTTGGATTATAACAGGTGAGAGCCTCCAGAATTCGAACTAGACACCACAATAAGAGTGGAAAAATGATAGATTAACCTTG